TGCCAATCTTCATTCCACCAATTGCTCCACAATCACCCTCACCTATCGTCTGGGGCTGGTACAATAGGCCAGAAGTGGCCGCAGTACAAGGGACTTAGTCCCACCCCACTAGCAATAAAAAAAAACATACCGGGGTACCAAAACGCATATAAAATGTTCGCTTTATCAATGGATGGCCTGTATCATAACTCGACCATTATCATTAGTTTTGAAAACAAATCTGCCTAGAGACAGGATATCCTGACAGATTCTTCGTGGTTTTCCTCACTGCCTCAAATTAGATCAGAGTCGTTTCCTCCCATATCCCTTTCAACTCATATTCTTTAGAAATCTCACAATTCTGAGTTATAGTTTTATTTGCTGAAAGCATCGTTAAATAAACAATACACATTTCTCAAATAAGTTCACTCGTGAAGAAAGCAGTCTTCTGGGATTTGGCACCGTGTATATGTGGTGTTAACCCGTGTAGGCCTATGTCTCAAAATATGTTAAGGTTCTTAGACTGCCTTCTCCTGAAACGTGACGCCATATTTTCTGGTAGATATTCACGAAAGTTTCGAGAAAACCTGTTGCCTTGCTTAGATTGCACAGTGTCATAACCAAGAAGATCACACTATGAAGTTTTCTCAAGTTTTGAAGAGTTACGAAGTTTCTGTTACCAATATCACAACATGAATTTTATTCGACAATTAGTTAACCCTCTGAAGCCTGATATTCATCTACGCACTATTTAAATAATCTGTTCGTACCTCGCAGGGAACACATTATACCTCCACTAAAAGGAGCAACCGGTTAATGCCGTTTAGTAAAATAATCGTCATTTATCGAGTACCATAGGATTAATTTATGGGCTGCACGACCGAGGAATCTAATGCAAGGACCTGTAATACATGTATAATATTTAATTAAAATCAGTCAGTTCTTTGGTTACGAGATGACACTGCACAAAATATACATTCTATTTTAATTTCCTCGAAACCCGTAAGACCTAGAGAGCTGTAATATACAATGAATGTGTATTTACGCTCCCGATGGAAACAGAAAAACATGTAAATCTTCGTGTGACATCTCCGTTTTGGCCGATTTTAAACAAAATTGTAATTTGCCAACATATTTTCTAAAAACTTCCCAATACAAATCATGAAAATGCGTTCAATGGTTCTCAAGTAGTTCATACGGGCAGACGAGCGGGTGGCTCGATACTGCGAAGCGAATTGGCAGATTTTTATAACTCTTCTTTGTGAACGTGCCAAATATATTTGCAATTTGCATTCCCTCGCCAATCATCTATTAGAGAGGCATTCGTAAAATTTTTATTGTCCTATTGCCGTGGTTTTCCTCATTAACTTTAATGAAATGGGTGATGTGTCTGTTAAAACAAGCCAAAATAATTTTCCCTCTTCCATCCTCTACACTTATTACATAGCCGATGAGTAGCTTGCAGAATGTAGACAGAGAGAAATCAGAGCAAAAGATGTACAGCTGAAATAGGATAGCCATTAAATTAGCCTATATTACAAAAATATGGGTCAAAGAATCACGATAAACGGTCGATTAAAACATCATTAACATCAAAAGTAAGAATTTGTTCAGCTTCTTTTAACTCACCTGAAATTATGGGACCAGCCAGAATTCTTTTCCACAGGGCGGAGAGCAGCTAGAAAATTTGCTTAAAGAACTTAATTTTAAAGATTTTAAGAATATTTTTTACTGATTTCCCTAGTTTTTTCCACGATATAATATTCTACAAACAATTTTAAATTTTGGTAAAAATAGACAACACATTTCTTTCTTTATTCAATTGCGATTTGAAACTTGAAACACTTGTTGACAGAGTTTATAAAAAAAAGAAAAAACTTATAATTTGTGGAGATTGGAATATAAATTTACTCCAGGAGAATGAACAAGTTAGAATGCTTGGAAATATTTTGGCATCCTATGATCTAATAAATACAGTTACTATTCCAACAAGAGTTACAAGTAGTTCGGAATCCTTAATAGATTTAATAGTTATTAATAGACAGTTTAATGAGAATGATACAAAGGTTGTAGATTTGGGTTTTTTAGACCATTTGGCTCAGATTCTAAAGGTGTATGTAGACTTACGTAAGGTTGATTTAAAAAAGGTCTTGCAAAGAAAATACTCTAAAGAGAATGTAGATAAGTTCATAGATATCTTAAATAATGAATCATGGGAGGAAATTTATATGGAGAAGAATGTAAATGAACTTTATAAATAAGTTTTTATATCATTTTAATAGAGTATTTTCAGTGAAACTAATAATGAAGAAAAACAACAAGAATAATGCATGGATATCCAGAGGAATAAAGGTTTCCTGTCAAAAAATGCGGTTTTTAAATAAATTGAAACAAAGGATGTCACTTTCAAGGAATGCGCTGGGGTATATTAATAGATATCATAAAATTTATAAACGAGTTATTTCAGAAGCTAAAAAAAGACATAATGACAGACAGATAGTAAATGCTGCTAACCCAAATAAAGTGATGTGGCAAATTATTAATGAAAAAAGGGGAAAATCAGGGAAAACTAATCAGGATATTTGGTTACAAATTAATTCAAAGATGGTATATCACCCGCAGAAGGTGGCAGATACTTTGAATTCATATTTTATTGACAAGGTAGAAGAACTAATGGAAAAGAATAGGAGTAAAGGTAGTGGAAGATCAGTACAAAAAGTCGTAGTAGACAATTCAGAGTCTATGTATTTTTTTCCAACTTCTGAAGAAGAAATAGTCTCAATAACATCTAAATTAAAAGGAAAAGCCTCTTCAGGAGTAGATGAAGTCCCAGATTTTTTAGTAAAAGCATGCATTACATGTATAAAAAACCCTCTTAGGTTTATATTTAATGAATCTATAAATTAAGGGGTATTTCCTGATTTTTTGAAAATAGCTAAAATTAGACCGGTCTTTAAGAAGGGTAATAGACAAGAAATTAGTAACTATAGACCTATATCGGTTATATCAATATTCTCTAAAATATTAGAAAAAAATAGCGTATAATAGACTGGTATCTTTTATTAGTAAATTTAAGATTTTAACGGTAAATCAGTATGGGTTTCAAAAAAATAAGTCGACTATTTCGGCATGTCAGACATTTATTGGTAATATACAGGAAGCTCTGGATAGGCGGTTAACTGCAGTTGGTATATTTTTCGATCTTTCAAAAGCGTATGATGTTATGTTTTCTGCTAGAAAAACTTGATCACTATGGAATAAGAGGAAAAATTAATGATTGGTTAAAATCATATCTGAAAATGCGTTCTCAGTATGTTGAAATAACATCTAATGATAATAAGTACTAGAGAAATCGATTTAGTTTGATAAGGAGGAATACAAAATTTGGAATACCGCAAGGGTCTACATTGGGCCCGCTTTTGTTTCTTTTATACTTAAATGATTTACCCCAACATATAACAAATGGGGAGGTTGTTCTCTTTGCAGACAATACAAATATATTGGTTATTGATAAAGATAAAACCATCCTTCAAGATAAAATAAAGAGAATTATGATCCAACTGGAATCTTGGTTTTCAAAAAACAATATGATTGTAAATAATGATAAGACTAAAGCTATGTTATTCCAGTTAAAGAAACCGCATGACATCTCAGGGCCAGATATTATTTTTAATAATATAAAAATTAAGTATACATCTCAGTTTAGATTTTTAGGTATTAATATAACTCAAAATCTCAAATGGAGTGTACATATTCAGTCCTTGTGTTCAAAATTGAATAAGGTATGTTATATTATTAAATCTTTGAAAGATGAGGTAAGTTTACATATACTCAGGAATATATACTTTGCCAAATTTCAATCGTTGGTAAGTTATGGGTTGATTTTTTGGGGAGGAGAAAATGAAAGTATTAAAGTCTTTAAAATATAAAAAAGGATGCTTCGTTTCATGAAAGGTGTAAATAACAGAGTGTCATGCAGACCTTTATTTAAAGAATTGAAGATTTTAACTATTACGTCCTTGTACATCATAGAGGTGTTGTGTTATTTTAAGAGATATAATATATACACTATGAGAAATACTGATTTATAAGAGTATAATGCTAGGAGGAAAGATGATCTTCATGTACAACAATGTAACACATCAGTTTTTAAGAAAAGTGTTATTAATGTGGGCATTAAATTATATAATATACTTCCTTTGGAAGTTAAAAAGTCAAAGGGATGTAACGAATTTAAA